ATATTTTTGGGAGAATAAACCCCACAGATCCTCAACTCCGGTGTGTCTCACTCATTAACAACGCAACACAGAGCAACAAGAACGTTGTCTACAGTAGCCATGAACTCGCATGTATTTTCTTAGTTGAAGGGGGGTGGGTGGATGCGTGGGCCACCCGAATAGGTTAAGGGGCCTTAGGCTTTTCTTGCCGGGGGGGGGGGAAGTGCGGTGCGGTGCCCCCACAAATAGAATCAAATTCTGTGGGAAACACTGAGTGGGGATGTTTCATGGTGATATAAATAAGTTAATATGTATTCCTTTACACCTGTAGGGACTCCCTTTAACCTGATACAAGATAAATGAAGCTTGTCACGCTTCGACAGGTGAAATACAAAACTTCACCTTTCCCCTGTAGAGGTATTTGGTTACCATGCCAACGTTTCACTATTGTTACAGATTTTTATTGCAGATGCCTCTGTGCAGGTATTGTCAATGGAAAATAACTATGGTTACTAAACAGTGTGATGAAGCAACAGTTAGCGATCTGACAGCGTGGCAGACTTCAAACACAGGTGTGCCACGAGGAACCCCCGTGTTTACCCCCGTCGCCTAGCAACAGAGGGAATCCTCTCGTGTCGCATCACGACTCTGACGTCAAACACAGGTCGTTCCCCTCTCTGGCACGCAAAGTGCCCCTTTAATCGTGTGCGTGTGAAGTCTTTCAGCATCAGTTGTGAAGTACAAATAGCTGATGAGTCACTTTGAGACAGTAACTGGAGAAAAGGTATTTCCTTAAAGGTGCAGCCGCAGTGTTTGAGGGACTTCCTCCCACAGAAAACCTGGAATAGTTTGTTGAAAAACACCAGGTACTCAGTGTGTGGTCCGAGCTGGCTTTACAGCAGGGTATTCCTCAAGTGTGGGGAAATTTCCATCCTCCTGTGTAGACTGTGGAATAATATTGGGTTAAAGAGCCTATAGCTGAGTGTTCAACCTTGAGATTTCTGTGTAATCTTTGAGTGCCTGCAGCCCACACATAGCTGGCAGACAGTACGTGACAGTAGGTCATTCAGCCTTATTACAGCCTTTACGTCGGGTTAGTGTGGCTGGGTCAAAGTGCACATCCGGTTAAACACTTGGCACTGTTGCTATATTTACTTCCCATTAACAGATCTCATGTAAGAGTGTTTTGTTTTGTCTTTGCCTTGGATACTGACTCATCAGCAGTGGAGTCCAAAGTCTGACAGATCAGCGAGTACAGTAATGCACGTACAACCTTATTATCAACCGCATTTCATAACACACAGACCATATTATTATGTACTTCCAGAGCAGTGGATCCCAAGCTGTGGTTCGGACCCCCCAGCTGGTCCTAAGATTAATCAAAGGGGTCAGGAATAGTGAAGCATTTAAATACGCTTATTAGCTTTCTTTACCAAGTAAGATTAGAAGATCATCACCAATCTCATGTCTCATTAAAACCAGTGAGCAATAAGACTACAGGCAACAGCTAGCATTTCTCAGTCTAAATCTGCCTAGCAACTCCAAAGCTCAGTCATTTTACACATGATTTATTTGTAATATTTAATGCAGAGCAAAAATAATATCTTTCAACTTTTTACGATCCGTAATGTTGCAGACTATTTCTTGGCCTCGGCCACATGTGAAATTGACAGACACCTTTCAGATAAGAGCTTAAGTGTATTTCCTAAAACAACAAACCATTCAACTTAAAATTGTTTATGCTTTCATCTTAGTTTGCCTTTTTTATGGCATACTTGAATATTCTACTTTTTGAGGCTCTAAAAATTGCTTTATTTGAGACGAAGTCGAGAAAAATATGTTTTTAAAACTGCTCACGATTCCTGGCAGCACTTAATAGGACCGTAAGCTTTGATGAGGGGTGACATTAGACACTCCATTTAGAATATTTACTTAACTAAATGTTTGATCAATAAAATATAGCGAAACAGAGAAAAAACGAATTACACAAGACAGAGAAATGATCCTTACTGAGGGGAAAGGCCAAGGGAATGTACAGCATTTACACAAAGTACTTAAAACACCAATATATATTATATATAGTTTCGCTGTGTCTCGCTGTATCGCCGACCCGGAAACCTGTCCGCGGCGAGCAGCAACGAGCCTTGCAACGTCCCGACCAATCAGAGCACACTGGGCTCACAGGGAGGAGGGGGGCGGCAGGAGCTCCAACAAGCCGTTTAGGACAAAGAGTGAATACCTGGTGAATACACATACTATACAGAGATGCTGTATGAGAAACCAATGTGAGTTTGGAAAGTTGCACATTATAAATCTAGACCTCAACAATGTAAATATGATCAGTAGAAATGGCCATGACATGGGACCTTTAAGGTGTTGCTACTGGGAACCCATTTATCAAACACAGACCTAAATACTTCATGAATAATTGAAGCTCAGATGTTATTAATACACAGGATGCATTACAGAGTCCGTTTCCTGACAATAACTGGAAGTCTGACTTCATTTCACATTAAAAGTTCTGTTTTTATATTTTTGGAAAACTACCCTGGATACGGACTGTCATGACATCCAAAACAAAAAGCGACTCACCGCTCGCTGCCAGACTTCTGTTTGCTTTGTTAGTTGGTAAAT